GGCTCCTCATCCATCCCCAGGCAGAGCTCCATGCACTCCAGCTGGTCATTGGTATAGAGGCCGACACCCCCTCCTCATCTCCCCTGCCTGTCCTTCCTAAAGAGCCTGTATCCCTCCATCCCAACACTGCAATCACAGGAGCCATCCCACCACGTCTCCCTGATGTCAATAAGGTTGTAGCCCTGCAGGTGTGCGCACGTCTCTAACTCCTCTCGTCTATTCCCTATGCTACATGCTTTTGCATAGAGGCATTTAAGTTGGGCCCCCGATGAAGCTGCCTTACTGGTTGGAGTTCCTTTGTGCTGCTCTTCAGGCACTCTCCTGCTGCCCTGTGTTCCTTCTCCAGGCGCTGGGCATCTATTGCTGGCCCTGGCATCAAACTGGTAGGAGGTTCCCCTCCCCAAGCACCTCTCATTGAAAGCCCTCTTCACCAGCTTGGCAAGTCTATGACTGAAGATGCTCTTCCCCTTCTCTGACAGATGGACCCCGTCAGCCCTCAGTAGACCATGTTTCTCAAAGCGAGTCCCATAGTCTAAGTAGCCGAACCCCTGGCTGTGGCACCAGTCCCGTAACCATTTGTTGACTCGCCAAATTCGACTGGCCCTTTCAAACCCCTTCCCTTTGACCGGCAGGATTGATGAAAAAACTGCCTGCGCTCCTGAGTCCCTTACTGCCGCTCCCAGGGCTCTGTAGTCCTTCTTGATAGTCCTCAGACTATATGGACAATGTAATTTTCCTGGGGACTGAGGGAGAAAGAAAGAGGCTTGCCAACTGGTTGGTGCAATGTGTGTCTGTGAGCAGGAGCAAAGAGAAAGTAAAACTTAGCCCTGTTACCCTAAGAAAATAAGCCATAAGGAGGCTTTTAGGTACAGGAGGCTGGCTAAAAACAGACCTCAGACTGCGAGCAGAGGGAATAGTTCTTCTGTGTTTGGATGAGCACGGAATACGTGAAATGTACATATCTAAATCGATAGGCTTGCATCAAAAAACATATTCTTATTAATTTATTCTTCTAATAGACAAAAGCCCCTGATCTTAATTAACTGCTTGTCTTAAAGAGTTAAAAGCACTATGTCTGAGGAGGATGATACATACAGCAATTGAAGCTTTACTTTTGGTGAAATCTATGAGATTTCTCCTCTAACTGATAAACGTAAACTATTTCAATTTTATTTTGTTCATAACATTGAAGATGATCTTCTTTGTGCTCCTAGTGTTTAAGTTCTGAGCATGAAGGGACAGAATTTGAGCTAGATGTTCAGGGACTTAACTACATAATTCCCATTACAGTTAATTAAATAAAATTATAATAACTATAATTAAAACCCAGGGATTTATCCTATAATGTAATTTAAAGGGACTGATGGATGGAAGGCACTATACCATTTTAATCAAATTACCACTGACTCACTTTGAGTGAAGGTTATATAACCAGAAATGCGATTGCAAGCGGATCCAGAATAAATACTGCTCAATATTAAATATGTGCAAAGTATTGAAGAAACAAGTCTCCTCTCAAAACAAAACATACCAAAAATATTATATAGGGAAACATATTCTCCCAAGTTTTAATGTACTTACCACACAGCTGAAGTTTGGAATAGTTGCATATTTGTAAGAGTAAGGGTACAGCAGCATCTGTGCATATGCATGGAAGGACAAATAGGCTTTTATTTGTTTCCGATGTTTGCGGAGAAAATGAGCAACAGCCTTTACTTCAGGCTCAGACTCAGGAAAGGGACCACAGTAGGTGTCATCGCATGGGTGAAATGAAGCACCTTCATCTAGAGATTGAATGAGAAAGTTGATGGTGAACGATCATAGAGAATTTCCAAGAGTCAAATTCTGGCTCAGTCTGTGGGGGCCTGTGTGCAAAAGTGTGAAAAGCAATAACCAAATTTCTTTCTTGTGACTGATGGGCATGAGCCACTGGCACCTCAGTACAGCAATCTGCTTGTTCATTTAGTAGCCACACCAAGTTGCCAATTGCCCAACTACACGCAGTTCTCCCCAGAGGACATACTTTTAACCCAACAGAAAAAGGAGAGCCTGACTTCATTGTATTTTCTTCCCTGGCTTTCCATACGAGTGGCACATTTTATGATAGCATTCCAGTATTAAAACTATTGAAGGGTCTCAGTTGGTCTATTTGAAATCAGAGAGCTATACCTCTTTCACTAGTCGCTGCCAAGACAAATCTAGCCTTTAAGAGCATTTTAAGGTACTAGCTACTACAGTGGTGGTTACGATGGTAGGTAGATAACTTCAACAGGCATTATCTTAGAGACTGGTTTAAAACATGAGAATAATTCCTGACTACTGCCTATTTTTACTCTTGCAAACCTTATGGGAAAAAAATGACAAGCCACATGGGATGATTGCTCAGTTAGCTAAAATAGAAATTGTCTCAGTTTGCACAGGGTTTAATTTTCCTTCAAGTTTGGGGCAGGGGTTCAGTTGTGAGGATATCTTTCACCACGTCAACCTTCTCAGGTGGCAGTAAGCTGAAGAAGTGTAGCCTGCCTGTAATATCCCATGAGGTACTGAAAGATGAAACTCAGAAAAGGAGTGGCAGTGGCTCCTTTATCATTTAGGAATTCTGGATCTAAGCCAACATCTCATTTACAGCTTAGGGCCTGGGCCTAGAAGAACAATATTTATGCAAATCCAGTCCACTCTTTTATCCACTGTGATTTCAAAATGCCACGTTTTACACTGACCCGCAGAATAATAATAGTTTGTTTGCGATATTCCTTGGTGTCATCAGGGACTTACAAAAGCAGTGTTTTATTAGCTTTCCTTTGTATAGTAAGTACTGCCATCTTCAAATAGTAAGAAAAGAGCAGTGCATGAGAAGGCATAATAATGTGAATCAAAACAGGGTTATGCAATCAACCTAATGCCAAAAAAAAAAAAAAAAAAGTGGAAGAATTTCATGCTGCAGCTTCATTTGTAATATGAAAATTGAGGCTACCATTCGATGGCCACAGGTGGGCATTTCAAAAGGTATTAGTGCTTAGATTGCAGTGGATATGGAAGAGTTATACAGAGGGCAGATGCTCTCCTCCCTGCAGAACAGATGGCCACCAAGTCATCCAAATCCCAAAAGCAGTCTGCCTCGATGTCTTGTCAGATAATATAGCTAAAGGGGAGCTATTTAACAGAGCCTCTGGAGCCTTTGCTTTTTTTTTACAGATACTTCATCTCCTGTAACAGTATTGTATACTGAATCATGAAAATGGACATCACTGTTAATAAACAGCAGAATCCTACAAGCTGATGGTAAAATGACCCAATGGTAAAATATGATTCAGTTTAGTGACTTTCAGTGAAGAAAAAACTCTCTAAACTGTCCAGCCTACTATTGTGAGCCATTTGCAATCCCAGCCGTAGCTAATGCTTTTCCTTAAGTGAAGCTGGCTGGTAGTAAAAAGAGAGGGTTTCCGTGGTGGCCTTGGATAATGTAACGATATCCTCAATTTTCATACTGGAAGTTCTTTTGAAGTAACACAAGAAGGAATAAACCGATACAGTACGTATCAACTCCTGTGAAATTTCTGAGTTACAGTCATGAGAAGAAAATGGAATTGCATAAAATGTTACCATGCTCTCTTATTTTTGTACCTGTTAGCATACCGGAGGAGGACAAATATCCTCCAACATCCATCATGAGATCAAATGTACAAAGGAAATGTGTGCAGAGACTGATAAAACCAATGCTTTGGTACAGAAGGAAGACTGGGAGCATGGATGAGCTGGAGCATGATTCTCAAACTTCCTTGCAGCCACTTCTTCTTGCCAGTATGGGGTACTGTCCTCAGTGAGCAATGGGGTGCACTGAAAACTGGGATACACTGGAAATTTTAACTCCCACTGCTGCTCTCTTGGGGGCTTCGGATGCAACCCCTTTAACTGGATTTGCCCTATGACATAATTTAGTTCTAAGTACCTCATTATTGGCTTTAAAGTTGCTATTTATTTCATGAACATTAAACCATTGTGTTAGTTATTGCACATACATATATATTGCAAGAAGAATTTCTACCCAGAGATCTTGCTGTCAGTATTCACCTGGGTCTGTGTGCAATTTCTGTGCACTATTTTGGGTACAGGGCGCTGCAAAGTGCAATCTACTACAATCAGTGATATGGCCCTTTCCTCGGTCCCTAGAGAATACAGAAGCAACATCATAAAGCTTACATCAAAGTCCTACACTAGAAGGGAAGAGGAAAGCAGAAGGGATGCTGTGTTATCTTTACCAGCTAGCTCACTGCAGCTAGCATTCAGCAGCTTTGCTGGGGCTGGATTCTGCCACAACACACCTGCCTGGAAGCCCCACAGCGAAGTTCAAGCCTGTCTGCAAACTGTAAGTGTGACTGAACTGAATTAAAAGGTTTTTACAAGCATACGCAGTACTAAATGTTAAACACACCATGATTATACAAGCCTCAAAGTGTGATATGATCCAGATTCTTCTCTGACTCATTTAGTGTCAGATTAATGAGAACATAGGGTGCCAGCTGAGGATCTTCTGAGTACTAGCCAGCCCAGTTCATGAAAAAGCTCTTTATTCTCTGGCAAAATAGAGAATCAGACAGAGTTGGGGGTCCGGCGAGGGAAGCAGAGCATGTCCTTGGTGGGATGACGAGCAACCTTGAAGGAATTTTTATTTTTTAAACTCGGGGTGTGGACCTGTCTTTCATGTTCAGTGCAGGGGAAAAATGCGACAAATAGTGGATTACAACACACAACGCGTGTGTATTGTTATAGTTTCACTCACCCTAGAAAAAATGTTTTCTACTGAAAACTAAGCAAACATTTCCAGGACTGAGTAAAAAGTGTGCTTTAATACAGTGGCTAAGGAGCCGGAAGAGGGAGGAGCAGGGTGATCTGAACCCAAGAACATTAATTAGGACTAGAAAGAAAATGCACTGTGTGAGTATTAATGTTGCACTGATAGGTACCTGTAATATGGCTCTGAAGACTTTGTAAGAGAACTGTTCATTCCAGCTACGCCAGTGGCTATCTTCTGAACAGTAAATGTATGTCCCCAAAATACTTGCAGTTGTGACGTACGCACTTAAGTAAAACATAACGGCGATGCAGGACTTTGGTTCATTTTTACGTTATTTTTGCAGCATAAAATTGCCATACAGATCGTGATAGCAGCCCTGGGACTGTCTTCTGTAGTGGAGGGATTCTCAGCTAATATAGGCTTTCTGTCGCTGCTTCTGTGTCAGTCCTCTCCTTACTGCACGTAGAGTCAAAAAAAAATTGGAAGCATATTTCACAGGTCCATACTATATTGAATGTATGCTTCTGTTCACTCTCACCTCATTTGTAATCTCCCCAGGCAGATTATTCACACGCACTTTTATCCTTACAGTTCTCAAAAATCTGCGTAAAGAATCCAATCGCTGCAAGCGAGACTGTGCAGTGCTCACTCCTACTGCAAGTAATTGGACTATTGTGGAAACATCTAGAGACTTCCAGTGGAAGAGGGATGGGCTGAAGGGAAGGATGTTGTGCTAGCGCTATGCAAACACAATTTCTGTCTTTACAAGTTTGTAATGTAAATAATGAAGGTGGACAAATGCTGGAGGAGAAAACAGCTGCACAGAGAGGTGAAGGAAGTTGCTCAAGATGGGAGAGCAGGTCAGCAGAAGAACCAGGTATATATCACTGTATTTCACAACAAAGTGCCATTACTTTCTGCTGCACCAGAACTTGTATGGCTGCTTCCTGTGTGGGTTGCACTGTCTTGCTGTAAGATTTAATAAAATACCATTTCTTCTTCAGTGGACCCATTCCAAATCTTCTGCTAGTATTTCATTACTGCTGCATTCTCTATGCAAAATTGAGGTCAATTTTTATGAAAGTATTTACAGAAGTGCTGGGAGTTTAAAATTGGATCTCCATGCATTTAGAAGCACCTTCTTTCTTTATTAAATCACTAATAATAATGGCCTTAAAATATTCTCAGACATTTCTCTGTGAGGCCAACAAAGCAAGTCTGACATTTCCGAAGCTAAAGCCATTTCAGAGAAATGATGAATTAAATAAAACTAAATTTGAAATGTTTCCTAAAGCTGTAGTCAGGTACATTCTGAAATGTGATGGGCCAGGCTCAATACTGTGCTTCAAATTATTTACATGACTGCAGAAATACCAAATAGCTGTATGTGCGGTTTTTCACTTTTGCCACATGCGCCATGAAAACTTTTTACTTGTGATGAGATGTGTTTTTCCAAAGTTCAGGACTTCTATTTTTTTAGAAGCTAGAAGGAAGATTTGAGCGCTGGCTTGTGGCTTTATGGGAAAGTAGCTTCAACTTTAACTATGGAAAAGAGAACACTTCACAACGGATGTGACCTAACCTACTTACTCTGTTGGATAATTAAATACAGGGAAATCTGAACTGGTGGACCAAAGTATCTCCAGACTTACCACACCATTTCACTTTCCAGTTGCGATTAGCATCAACACCATGACACCGAAGCCTTGTGTTCTTTGATCTTGTTTTTCTCCAAAATCGATCCTAACATAAGTTATAAAATAGTTAAATAGCAATATTACTATATGTTGGCAAAAATTTATTTGTACACATAACAATCCAACCTTGGTAAATATATTCAGTATTATATTTTAACTGGAGTAATTTACTTCCATTCTGCATGCCACGAAGTGATGGACCAGATTATACAGAAAGTCACCTTTGAATGATGTAACAACCATTTGATCTTTCCTGTCTGAACAATTTGAGCAATACTACTGATACTACTTACATTTGTCCAGCTAAAATGATATCCATCCACATTAAATACAGGCATGATATAGAAATACAGCTGAGTTAGCATCTTTCTCATGGCAGGATCGGTCTGGTATGTCTGAAGAGCCTAAAGCAGAAAAGCCAAAGAAAGTAGTTTCCATAATAAAAATAATTTCCCGATTAAGTATTGTGACAGGCTGAGACAGCCACGTGGCCTTTGGCAGTACAGAGACCTGATCTCACGGCACCACTGACATCCTTAGAGCTGTACTCGAAAGCCTGACATCTTCCTGCAAACGTGATTAAAGGCAGCATGTGAACATGCGAAAAAGGTGTTCAGAAGACCCTATTCTCTCTGCTTCTCAGTTACTTTCAATAGCCAAGAAAATACAACTCACATTACAGAGAAGCAAATGCATACAAAATGTTTCTTGACGTAGGAGCTGAAAGTCTTAGCTGAGGAAACGAGTTTAACTCCTGTAAGACGATGGAGCGCTGTTGTTTTCACCAGGTGATGATTTGGTGAGGTCAGAGCATGTCTTAAAGCATTTAAGGCTCACATTACATAAGCTTTTGTTGTATTCAAAGTAATTTACTATACACATAATCATCAATACAGGCAGCTTATTCCTTTATAATTTAGAAAACCCTCTACTTTTGGAGAACCTCAAGTATAAAGGTTAGTA